ATTGAACGGTCCGTCGAAATGCTTTATTTTGACGTTGATTTTTCTAAATCAGTCGATTCGTTTTTGAGAAAATTAGAAAAATCTTTGTTAATCCTAATTTGTTCAAAACACACGAAAATATCACTTTTTATTTCAATAAGTGTTCAAAATGCCCGTTAGGGTTTGCCGAATCTACAATTCGCTTATAATTAATAAAACGGAAACTACCAACGTAAACAGAAATTCGGAAGATTAGACGTGGCAACAACCAAATAACAACCCGCATTCTTTTCACGAACTGTATTTATTGGTGTACCTGTTTAGCGATTTGTTGCTAAGGGAAAGAAAGAATTAAATTTGCTGTCAGTTACCTTTGTGACAATCTTGAGAGAGTGAAAATTGACTTATTGATTCGAATTTTACTTAAAAAATGGTTTATACATTAGCTGAAAGAGTGGAAATGATTCTAATTTATGATGCCCAAAATCAATGTGCTCGGCAAGCTGCCATCACGTTTAACACCAGGAATCCGGGGAAGACATCTCCGCATAGGTATGTTTTGGAACATGTTACTAAATTTACTCAAACTGGATCTGTTGCAAACAAAAAACGTGCTTATCGGAGAGTTTTGGCTGAAGCTGCTCAATTTGAAGTTTTGGGGCATTTTGGAATAAATCCCAATACTTCATTACGCGAAATTGTTGCTGCGACTGGTATTTCATTAGGCTCTGTACACAAAGGTAGTAAACTCCATAAGTTTCATCAATTCAAAATGAAAATTGCAAGAGTTAACCGAACATCATTTCGATTGGCGAGTTGATTTTTGTGAACAAATATCTGCCGCGATTAATGATAATACCATTTATGTAAATAATATCTGCTTCAGTGATGAATGCACATTTTATCTAAACGGATTTGTTAATAAGCATAACTGCAGGTATTCCTCATGCTTAATATAAGGGCATCCCAAGTACCCCACAAAAATTAATGTATGGGCTTGTATTTGGGAATCTTATTGAAATAAAAAGTGATATTTTCGCGTGTTTTTGTTTTTTATCTGAACAATTTAAGATGAAGATTTTTCTAATTTTCAAGAAAACGAATCGACCGATTTAAAAAATTCAAAGGTTAAAATAAAGGACTTTGAAATACCTTTCAAACAAGCTATCACTCGACACCTTGTCATTTCAAATTTTTAAGGGATGACCCAGGCGGGCAGAGGGTGAAAGGGAGTGAAGTAGTTTATGGTTTAAAAGGTGTTCCCCTAAGCAAATATTTTGACGTATCTTGGCGTTTTTTCTTTTAATCCGTGGTATTCGATAAATCCGTGGTGGGATGTTTTCAACTGAACATCCTACAACTACCCTTTGGTCAAGGTGACAGTCAAGTATACGTGATAGTAACCTGGACCGTAAAATATTTCGCCTTTTTATATTCCCTACAGTAGGTGAGTACTTAACTTAAGAATTTCTCGGACCTCCTGCCCAACTAACAATTATCACTCCTATTAGAGTTGCAAGAATGATTATACAGTATTCCTTAAACAGCATTGTATACTGTAAGAACATTGGAAAAACCCTCTTAGTACTGCTATACAAGCGGAATGGGCACACCTAATAAAACACTTCACAACAAAAGTGTAAGCCTCTTGCAGCCGCTATAGGACATTTGCGTCAGGGCAAGATTCAGTTTTTGTCAACTATACAACTATTCTGTTACGTGATTCTACTTTATTGCAACCAAACTATTTATTATGTATTGTATAGACGAAGAAGAATATATAACTAACACATTACAGTCACCTTGTTTACTTACATATCGGCCATTGTGAATTTCATACACAGGTATACGATAAACTTCTACACTGTGATATAGGGCTATTGAATTACTTGCGCAGCAAATTTTATTGTGATTATCGTGCAAATTAGTTACGCTATTTCTACGGGCTTCGTATTTGTTTCATATTTTGATAATGATCAAAAGTATGTCTAGATTTTTAAGATGGAAAACTGAACTTATCTGCGTTAAATCTTCCACAAACCCTATATTTAGACACAATTACACTAATGTTTATCACTTCATATCTGTAATTTCGAACTGAAACATAATTATTTAATATTAAATAGAGGAATAAATGTTTGCCCAATATGGCGGGTGGTTGTCTATAATCATGGCATCGTCCATGTTATCTTTAGGTTATTAGAATATTTTGGTGTTGCCTGCAGATGTTATACAACAATTTGACAAATGTCTGAAATGAAATACCGACAGAGTCGAATAATTTACCCAGAATTTGTACCAGACCTATATCATCTGTTTGAACAGTTGATAAAACATTTTGAACCAATATGCATGCGTTGTTTGTCTTAAAACATTGGTTATGGCATTTTAACAAAAATATGACAGCAGAAAGTTAGGTTATGGTGAAGTTGTATACCAACATATTTAGCATATGTACAGCCTTTATCAGTTACTAAACAACAGTTGTATAAGTGCTTCCGTTGGGAGCAATTTGTTGGCTAAAGTAGTAAATTGCACAGCAAAACAACAAGATTCGGGTTTGTTTTATAAACATTACCATGGATGTCACAACACAACCATTTTGACTAACAGTTGTACAGGGTGGGGCAAAAGTCACGAAGGGATTTGAAAAATTAATAACTTTTTTAAATTTATTTTGTTTTCATTTTTTTTTTCAGGACCGTGTAAAATAAATCCTGGATATTAATTATGGAGCGTTACAACCTCAATCAACGAACCAAACTTATAGAATTTTATTTTGAATATCACCATTCAATAATTCAAACTCAACGAGCATATCGTCGTCATTTCAATTTGCGGAATTCGCCCTCTGAATCAATGATTCGACGCTTAGTGGCACGATTTCAGCAACAAGGCACAGTTATGGATCTCCCACGAAGCGGAAGGCCACGTTCCGCAAGAAATGAAGGGAACATTCAACGCGTTCAGGAGAGTGTTCAGGAGAATCCGGAAACCTCAACCCGAAGACGTTCTGCTGAGCTGCAGATGTCTCAAAGGTCTTTACGCAGAATATTAAGAGGAAATTTACATCTGTTTCCATATAAAGTGCAGCTAGTGCAAGAACTAAAACCAGCAGATTTTCAAGAACGACTAACTTATGCAGTTCGCTTGCAAAGAATGGCTCGAGAAGATAATGAATTTATTCATTCTCTGATCATGAGCGATGAAGCCCATTTTCATTTGAATGGCTTCGTAAATAAGCAGAACTGCAGAATATGGGGTACCGAGAACCCAAGGGTGGTTCATCAAAGGCAATTACATCCGCTTAAATGTACAGTATGGTGCGCAGTTACGTCTCAACGAATTATTGGACCATTCTTCTTCGAAGACCACGATGGGAATGCTGTATCTGTAGATGGCGACCGATATCGTGATATGATTCAAAATTTCTTAAGACCAGCTCTTGCTGACAATCAAACGATGACTTTCCAACAAGATGGAGCCACTGCGCATACTGCTCGAGCCACTATGCACCTTCTAAGGCAGATTTTTGGCGAACGTTTAATTTCGAGAAATTCAGGATTCAATTGGCCCGCCCGCTCGCCGGACTTAACAGCCCCTGATTATTTCCTTTGGGGATATCTGAAAGGAAAAGTGTATATTAATAAACCCACAACCCTGCAGCAACTAAAAGATAATATTCGAGCAGAAGTAAGTGCTTTGGGGCCAGATATTCTGACTCGGGTAATGGAAAATGCTCTTGCAAGAGCTGCACTTTGCGAGGCTGAAAATGGCGGTCATTTGCGTGATGTAATCTTTCACACTTAAATTGTAAACAAACTCCAAACATTGCATTTTAGTTTTGTGTTAGGGAAAAAAATTAAAATTAAAATTTAAAAAAGTTATTAATTTTTCAAATCCCTTCGCGACTTTTGCCCCACCCTGTATAAACGTTTATGCAACAGTTAAAAATTTGCCATATAAGGTGTTGTATAACTATGCTATAAGAATATTTTGAACACCTCACTTTAGAGCAAATATGTTGCAGAAAGCAAATTTGCATTCCACACAACATTAAGCCAGCATTTTGGTGTTCAGGCAACAACAATAGAGAGCTTTTATGGCTGAACGGTTCTTTTACCAAAAGTTTATACCAGTACTTTGCTAGTTGGGTGATGAACTCGAAGTTCATGGCAAGGATGAATTTCGACGTGAAATTCTCCATAACTAATCCATTTTATCTTTAAATAACCTTGATGGTCATAATCAAGGTTATGGACTTATTTGAACACTCTTCACGTTCCCAAGATCAAAAATAGGCGTTTCCAATCGAGAAAAGTAACCTTGGAGGTCATGCTCAAGTTCACGATAAAGGTCACTTGGTGACCATTTTCAAACCTTTCAACTTTGTTTTTTTTTGTAATATGTTGTACTTTCAATAGTGATTGGACACTATCAAATACCCAAGACACTTGGACATGAAATTCCCTGCTCTTTACATTTATTTAAGATAAGGGTTTACGTTTAAGAAAACTGTATTGTCCTTCAAATGGCCTTAGAGGTCATAGTCATGATAACGTTCAAAATCACGATTCGATGACCCTCTTAAAACATTTTTGTCTAGAAAACGTATTTTTAGAGATATTTTGATATATTCATACTTTTTGGACGATGAACTAATAACAAACACTGGAAGAGGGTATCATCTGAGTGTATAAAATAGAAGAAAATCACAATGTAATGTTCACATCTGTTTAGATTACCACAAAACAATAACAAACTTTTCGTTAAGTCGATTTGGTCTACTTTTCCATCTCTCTGTATTATACCTTGTCATTTCATAATATCAGTGGCATCAATTTTGAGGATTTTGGGAGATTGGGTGTTATTTCCACATGACCGTGGCCTATCAAAATTCTGCTTATATACGCCGAAATTTTGTCGTAACGTCAGTAATTTAATGACTTGATAAATTACATATGCAATAATTAAAAAGCGAATACTATGCTAATATAGAAATTACTTTTTGATTGTATGTTAAACAGTCAAATATGTTTTGATGTAGTTAGAATTTTGTAGCGAAGCAGGGATGTGGTAGTCAGGCAAGTTGGAAATTTGTTCTGAAAAATGGCTTTGGTGTTGAAGAAGATTTACCACCTATTTTTAAGTGCAGAAGAATTATCTGGTATGATATTTTTCAATTTTTGCCGCATTTGTACTCTGATTTTGAATTAAAAATGCCTTAAAATGTGGATCTAATCTACCAAATCAACAATTTCATGGTATTGGTCCATCTATGTTGCGTGGGGCAGTTATGCAGAAAACTCCCTAGAAAATGATTCTTTATCATTATAAAATGTGAAGGACCCCATTTGCTAACAAAATATCAAAACCTTCTGAAACATTCTATCGCCAGGATTAACCGCAAGTTCTCAGTTTAAGTTTGGCATCTCTCTCGTGCATTGTGAATTTTCATTGTATGTAAAACAATCCTGCCAAAAATTGATTGAAGATTTGCTGATTGTGTAGAGGTTAATGGTAAAAACATTTTTTATCACCCCGCCAAGATAAACATTATTGCAAATATAATGGCAGCCGGAAATATAATTACACATTTGTCTAATTGTGCGTTTACAGATTTCGTGGCGGAACCATCAAAACAACTAGAATATAAAAAATTAGAATTATTTTATTTAATTACCGTATTTTTGCCAGATGCGCAACGTACTAATTATTAAAGAAATCATAAAGCGCTGGAACACGGGAGCGTTGGTGCGAAATGCGAATACTAGCGTTTAGAATCACACCAATGCACAGTGTGGCGCCCAATGGACAAAATTACTCAAAAACATAATTTTTGACATTAGAATTCTGTTGATTTTATTATACCATTGGATAGATAAATAGTCACTGCAACACGTAAGTATAGTACTTTAATCAAGTTGGCTGCGATTTACCTATTTTAGCAACTTTAAAGTTAGATATGTCGAGACCTGTCAAGAAGGCGAAAAATCTCTCTGTTTTATTGCTCGGGAAAGATACAAATTTTGTGTCGAAATATTTAAATATTTTAACTTTTTCAATATGGCTGGTAATGAGGCTGGTAAGTACATTATATTGATGTATTGATTTATTTAAAATATAATTATAATTAGATAATTTTTTAAGTTAAAGTGTCTATTACCGATTTTTTTAATTTTTTTTTAAACTTTTGACTTTGTTTAGAGTTTTACAAAAATCACCTCCCATCACCCTAAAAATTTTTTTATTTATTGTTTATCTCTCCATAGTAAGTTTTGATAAAAAGTTTAAATCACGTCATGCCACGTCTAAGGGAGATATAATTTTTTTTAGGACATGGTGCTATTGTCAGAAATAGAGATTTGATTGATGTGTGGATAGAAGCACCGAGAGGAAATACAAAAACAGGTGGTTTATGAAAAGCTATTATCTCTTATTGATATAACAGATGAACCTTCCAAACATCTTAAAAGTAATATTATGAAATGCAGTAAGTTGTTTGGGTTGAAAATGGCAAATAAATGGCAGAAAGTAGGACAATCTCGGAATCGACTTTTACAAAATCAGGTATATTGGTTAGACAAGATTATATATAGAATAAATAATGATTCTGAAGAAAACACATCTTCGGATGAGGAACAAGAACCTCCTTGTCGCTCAGTTGGACGGCCACGGGTGCCATTTGAAGAGGCAACGAAGAAAACAAAACGAAGACGTGTAGCCGAACTAAAGACAGACAGATCTGCAAATGAACTTCAATTTGCTGTAAATGTCGTTTCTGGAAGCAATCACAGTGAGGTCTCGCCACAAATTTTTAGTTTTAGTACAGCTGAAGCTTTAGCCCTTATGGTAGATTTGGATATATCCGTAAGAAAGTATTTGCTACTTAGGTCTGTTATTAATGGTAACGCCCAGAACTGCCTTCCTAGTTATTAAGAATTACAGAAAACAAAAAATGCTATCCTCCCTTCACAATTTATTATTACTGAAATTTCTGCAGTTGATTTGCAAGAACTTCTACAGAAACCAGCTGAAAGTATCCTTGAAATAATAAATTTTGAAGAGAGAGATTGCTGGATTAAAGTGATATGCAAGTGGGGATTTGATGGCAGTTCTGGGCATAGCCAATATAAGCAGAAATTTTCTGATTTAGAAAACACCGACGAATTTCTGTTTCTTGTAGCAATGACGCCACTCAGATTGATTGATATGGAAACGAATAAGGTATTGTGGAAAAATGAGAGCCCTTCATCTACTTTATATTGTAGGCCGATCAAGTTTTTATTTAAAAAGGAAAATGCTGATTTAGTGCGGAATACGGAAAAGGAAATAATAACAAAAATTGAAAATTTGATTCCTATTGAGATTAAAACAAAAGAAGGGCTCTTACATAATTGAAGTTGATACGATGTTAATAATGTTGGACGGCAGTGTTGGAAACGTTCTATCAGAGACAAATTCAACTATGAAGTGCATCATTTGCGGAGCCACACCCAAGGATATGAACACGTTAGCAGGGATTAACCGTCCTCCTAACGTAGACAATTACCGGTTTGGTTTGTCAACTTTACACTGCTGGATTCGTTTTTTTCCACAATCCACAGACAAGTTCAGATATCACAGGGGTTGACAGGGAATTAATCGAGAAATTTGCGATCATCTTAGGAGTGTTAGCTAGTGGTTGCGCTATTGATATGGAAAAGTTTGCGTCATTGCTGGAAGAAGCAAGAAATTTGTATATCCACCTTTATAAGTGGTACAACATGCCAAACACGGTTCATAAGGTCCTTGTTCATGGGTGTGAGATAATTGATGCATTTTGTTTGCCCATTGGAGAACTGTCGGAGGATGCGCTTGAGGCTCGCCATAAAGAGGTTAGGAAACATCGATTATCTCACACCAGAAAATGTTCAAGAACAGATACGAATAAGGATCTCATGCGTGTTCTTTTACTTACTTCTTATCCTTTTATATCCTCAAAATGAAAGGTGAGCTCAAAAAAATATAAGAAATCCAACGAGGCAGTTCAGAACTATTTAAAAAAGCAAGAAAATGATGATTTAGGTATTGACTTAGGTACAATAACGAATGACACAGCACCGAGCAAGAAATCCTATTCCGATTCGAATGGGTATATTTGGTGTTACTTTTTTAATATAGTTTATATTATTATTTCATACATTACCTACTAAGTAATTGTTATTTTGTTAAATATATTTTTTTGAATAAAATCCTAAATATCGAATTTTGTCCCTGATCCCTATAAAGGAACACACTTATTTTTTCAAAACAAAAACTCCTCACTAAAATTATTATTAAGGTATCACTCAAAACCATGGCATAAAATTAAAATAAAAATAATCAGTTAAATAATCTAACTTCGCAAAATCATAATATAATTTCATCATCGACGTATGGCCATTGATTACTTCAGTACAATTTATGGTATGACGTAATACTAATCTTCCGTGATTTTGACTATAGTTGCGTTTGGGCTTCTTCTGCTTTATATTATGGGAGCTGAAATAAAATTTATCTTCTCGGTCGGCGCTTAGTCAATTAATTGCTTACAAAAAAACAGGGATCTTTGTGGACCGCCCTTGGCTTGGCGATTCGCTCATAAATAACTCGTCATTCTACCACAAAGTCACATATCATAGGTGACTCTGCATGTATCGAGGCGGTGTTGCCAAACTGTCATACAATGTTTAAAAAGTGCTAGATTTAGACTGTGCTGAATGGAGTTCAGCTTATTTTACGGTTTTGGGCAACACTGAATTTATCTAAGAACAGAACGTATTTCGACGCCATCATCTGTTTTGTAGATGCCATGTTTTGAATGTTTTATCTCTGTCTAATCCATTCGCCTTGTCTAACTGTCTTCTCCTGGTATAACTGCTCTTTGTTTACACTGGGCTGAGTTTGTAAGTCACTTGGTAATATAATACCGTACACACTAATGGGGAGTAGAGTGACAGATAAAATTTCAGTCTGTAACAAAACTTGATGACAGTCCTCTAATTTCTAACCACCTTTTCTACGACCATTTGTTATATTAGAAGAAAGGCTATGGAAAAGTCGTAGCCCATTTATCGTATACCAGATACGCTGGTTCGGAAGGGGTGGATCAATTGCATGGCCTCCACGGTCTCCCGATCTAAGTCATCTGGACTTCTTTTTATGGGGATACTTGAAAAACGAGGTATACCGTACTCCAGTTCAGAATATTGAGGAATTGCGTGACCGAGTCACAGTGGCTGCCGATAATTTGAGCCTTCAGGCATAGCAGAAAGGAGGTGTATTTGAATTATTGCGCCGAAATTGGATTTGACGCGCCTAAGCTTGCATTGCAGTCAGCGGAAACAATTTTGAACAGCTTTTATAAGTAAGTGAACTGTTAAGCTGTATTATTTTATTATCTCGATTTCTGGAGGACTTTTATTACATTTTTTTTGAGAAATCAACTTCTTTCGTAACAGTGCATATCTGGTTAAAATTTGTCGGATAAGTTGTGAAACACCCCGTATCCTGCAATGATGAAAACATGGCTTATGACGTCAGAACTGGCATTGGCATTGCAAAAGTATTCAAATGCGATTCTAGCTTGTCATATAAATATGCAGACGACACTGATAGGGGGGAGTCGGTGAAAAGATGTCCACTTTGACTTTAGAACTGAACATAACAGAAAGCATGAGTGCTAAATACACAAAGACATCAATCATTGGTTAGTCTAGGAGCAGCCATCAAGGTCACATATATCCTCGTACAAATTCGCAAATTTCAAACTTGGTCACTTGGATGTACGTTCTCTTGAATACGATGTATCGTGACATCTCAAACTATATAAAATAAATGTATCATATTTTTGTTTCAATGGCAGATGTATGGATGATATGTGTGATACTAGTGCCTTTTTAATAACAGAAGGTTTTTGACTGATTCCAGAAGTGCTACATTTGCAAACATTAAGTCTCTCCCAGTTCAAACCTCACTCTTAAAAATTTCCGAACTTGAGCAGGTATATGTGAAACCACAGATTCAATATTGAAAACCTACAAAGCTTTTTCGTTCGTAGCAGAGTAGTCACCTTCTGCCAAAATATCATCAATGGTGTACTCTCCGAGTTACAAAGAGGTTAAAGATTAGGGAACAGACATCAGATTTTCTCGGTCGAATAGTTTCCAGGTGTCTCGCCACTACCGGGTACGTGCAGTCAATGCATATGGATACATAGGAAGTACAAAGTCTATTTACTTGACTCCATGAATTATGGAAGTATCGCAATTACGAAAACAGTCGAACTTCATTTAACCTGTTTTTGTTGCCACACAGCAATGTCACTCATTTCGGTCGCTTCGTCACTCTGGATCTACCTGTCGGCGTTCTTGTAACAATAGAATTTCACAAACAGTACGGCTTTAATCAAATTTGGGGAGCAGTATACAATATGGTAATTCTACATCACCACGTACATCAAACCGCTTACAAACTTCGTTTTCGGATAGTATGTTTTAGCGTAAGAGTGGTGGTAGCTGAAAATTTCAAGATGGCGATTAAGCGCGGTTAAAATAATAATAGTACGTTCTTTGCTTTTGAAGGGTCCATCCTGCATAATACAGGGTGGCCCATAAGTCCTTTGAGCTGGAAAAAAGGAATAAAACCAAACTAGTTATATTATGAAGAATTATTATATTTTGTTATCATCTTTATTGAATGAGAATTATGTTTTAAAAATCACATCGTCTAAATGCAATCCATTACGATCACGGCACTCATATAAACGACGTCTAAAATTGTCGATGACTGCGCGGCAAGTCAACACTGTAATGCTTGCCATTTCTTTTCGGATATTTTCTTTCAGGACATCAACTGATCGCGGAGTGGTGTCGTACACTTTACTCTTGAGGTAGCCCCATAAAAAAAAGTCCATTGGGGTCAAATCTGGACTACGTGGTGGCCAGGAAATGTCTCCTCTTCGAGAAATTACTTTGCTGGGAAAAAGTTGACAGACGACGGGCATAGAAGTGTTGGAGGTGTGGGCAGTTGCTCCGTCCTGTTGAAACCAGGTCTGCGTATTATAGCCTGGAAAATTCTGCAACGCTGGTGTCAAAAAATCTTCTATCATTGCTACATACCGCTCCGAAGTAACAGTTAATGCGCGTCCTCTGTCGTCCTCAAAAAAATAAGGGCCTACGATGCCATGCGCTGACATAGCAGCCCAAACTGTAACTTTAGGGCTGTGTAAGGGCTTCTGACGCTTACGCCTTGGATTTTCGGGGCTCCAATAACGGCAATTTTGTTTATTTACATGCCCGTTTAAATGGAAGTGAGCCTCGTCCGAGAACAAGACATTATTGAGCGAAGAAAATCGATTCAACATTTCACTCGCAAAGTTTAGTCTCTGAATAGCGTCATTATCTTTTAATTCCTGCACTAACTGAATTTTGTAAGCGTGCAGACGTAAATCTTTCCTTAAAATCCGCTGTAAAGATGTTCTGGGTACGTTTAGTGCACTGGAACGCTTACGAGTAGACTGGGTAGGATTTTGACGAATAGACTGTGCCACAATGTTGATGTTTTCTTCAATACGAGTTGTCCTTAGTCGACCCCACCGCTGTTTATCTAACGTCGAACCAGTCTCTTCGAACTTAGCAACCCAGTTCTTAATCGTTTGAGCTGTTGGACACTTTGTAAAATTGTGTAAATTGTGGTATTCTCGATATTTACGCCGCGCAATGGTTGCCGAATCATTATTTTGATAAAACGCGCGCACACAAAAAGCACGATCCGCTCCAGTGAAACACTCCATGGCGACTGAATTCCCAGACACTGAAGATACTGCCCCCACCTCGCCCGCGCCGCTAACGCTCACCCGTTAAATTTTATTCAAATTTGAAATTTCAAAGGACTTATGGACCACCCTGGTATAAAATCGGTGATATTTGCTTTGTGAGAAAATTATTAGGTACTGAATATGTTGTTCGTGAAATATATCTGTTGGCTGTGCCAGACGAGTTACTAATGTTGTTCTTTCTGGAGAGAGGTTATGTTCAAAGTTATGCAATGCAATTTTCCTCGTTTTCTTGCGTTTTCAAAATTTTTCAAAAGAATTACGGAAAATCAGTGCCGCACCCGCGTTGTGTGTCATTAAGCCACATGTCAGAAGAATGAGAAATAACGCATCACATACAAAACACTTCCGCACTGCGTCACATCTAGGCGCTAATCTGTATTTTCGTCTTGATACCGTAAAATAAATTTGTATAAAATTTAATGTGAAATGTAATAACTTTTTTACGTCTCATAAATATTCCTTTATGTACCATATTTTCTCACCTTAATCGTTCTTTTTTGAAATTCAGCAATTTTGCATAGGTAATTTCCAAGTTGAATAAGAAAAAGCGGATGCCGAACTAATTTCCAGCTTTGCATACATCTCAAGTAAATGTGTTCGAGACAAGAAACCAATGGAATTTTCAGCAACACAGATTATTAACACACAAATCCTCACTATGCACCTATTCACTGCCGTTTGCTTCCACCTATAGTATACAACTTACATGTTAGACCTCCAATAATCCCATCTCTGGAGCAGATGTTACATCACATTGATAGCTGAAGCATCATGACGTTTAGGCAACAAGTACAACTACGGAACAAACATACAACAAGCGTACAATAGCTAGTGCTAAGTTAACATTTTCTAGAGAAACCTACATAATGTCACAACAAACCTATATGTCAATAAAAACTAACATAAAGTCACTTTTCAAGATACGTAAGATCCCTGTGGATATGTAATAGCATATGTAACGTTCTATTAAGACATGTTGAAATGTGCAAAACTTTCCCAAACTGAATGTTTCATATTTCATTGCACACTTACGGCGTTTGTCCACCGCCGCCGTCACCGTCACGTCACCGAGAACTAGATGACGGCGCCGAAGAAGCGGTACATACATTTACATTACATTACTTAGCCGCGTGTCCACCGCACATCCGTCACCCGAGCGCCGTCATCCCGGCCGCCGAAATTGCGAGTAGATCGGCGTGACCGCTAGATCGTCGCCCGAGATTTTGACGGGCCGATGTGCCGGCAATACAAAACACGTATGAACTTGTCCACACACTGCCGTCGCCGTCGCACCGTACACGAGCTCAGTTATTATTTTGTTTGTAATCAATTATCATTAATTAGTATAACATTGCAATAAAAATGGCGAAAAAATTTAAATACGATATTTATTCATTAATAGAAATTATAGAAAGTAAAGAATGTTTGTGGGATAAAACCAAGGAAGTGTCCAAAGATAAAGTTTTGCGTAGAAATGCATGGCGCGATGTTTGTGCCTTTTTAGAGCCGAACTTTGAGGATATGGACCAGAAAAACAAAGACGAAATTAGTAAATACATGATAGTTTATTATTTATGTTTTTAATTAAGTAATTACAAGTTTAGATTTTATTCATCTGCCAAGGTGAGGAGCCGTTAGCAGTACGCCCACCATGCAGTACACTTCCTTCCCTTGGTAGATCAGACAGCCCATCGTGCATAAAAGACATGAACATATCCTCACCTCTGTAGCCATCTTTTTCACGTACAATATTATGCAAAACGACGCATGCCTTAACTATACTTGTGCTAAGTTTTTTGTTTACATTTAGAGGGCGATGAAATATTCGCCATTTATTGGCCATAATGCCAAATGCACATTCAACGTATCTTCGTGCACGACAATGTCTATACGTAGTTATAAATACGTTTTTTCACATCTAAATGGTTACCGCCAAAAGGACGTAATAAATGTTCAGTCAGCTGGAAAGCTTCATCGCCTAGTATAACATGTGGCATTCTGTTATTTTGAGATGAGTGCAGTGGAACAGGTGGAGGTATACTCAACCTGCCTTCAGTGAGTAGTTGATAGAAGTTTGTACGTTGAAAAATTGCGGAGTCGCAGTCTTTACCGTATGAACCGATATCAACATATACGAATCTGTGACGGCGGCGGTGGACAAACGCCCTTATAGTGTATTTACACCCAAGATAGAATGGATGCGTGATTGCCAAAAGCAAGGACGGCGTACTGGGCCGCATTCAGGGCTACCTCCGGATGATGGACTACCACCAACGTGTTGTAAAACAAAGATGACAGTATTTAACAGAAACAGAAACTTAACAAACTACTCAACTACACTTAACAACAACAGGGTGAATACAAAAACACGAGCACGCAGTGATACACGCGACAGACGGTGGCCTGAGTGCAACTCTGCCTGCCCTGCCCCTGCCCCGCCAGGCGCCAGGCGACAGCTTGAAATTTAATGGCGAATTGACCAATAAGAGGCGTTGTCCCCACCTGTTACCGAGAGATCACGCGCTAACTGTTATTATTTACATCTCATCTTGAATTTGGATTCAGTTTAGATAGCTACTATGCGAAGGAAACATATTATTACATACTAAAACGTTTTAATGGTTAGTTGTTGAGTTGTAAGCGATTCTTGTACAGAAACGCGGAACTTTGACAGCCTGCCAGTCTGCCATTTTGAAAGATAGTGATTTTATATTCTAGGGCTATAAAGTATACATAAGGAGCTTCACAATGTAAACTGTAAAGTTTACGTTAAAGCATATAATATTCATGCCTCAATTACATTATCTCAAATTCCAGCTTCCTAAGTTGACCCGTTCAAAAAATAAGTATGGAACCTTCTGTATATGATGAATAATATCCCACATTCAAAATTCAGTGCACACATACTCGTAAGCTACCACACTTAGCGAAAACTATGCTTAGTAATTGTTAATAATACAATATCTTTGCTTTTCGAAAAATGGATCGTCTTCCCATTAAAAGTAGCGACAACTAGATACCTGCACAAATGGTACATGATGATTAGGATAAGTATTGGAAGCTTTGGTGAATCTCAGAAACTATTGGATTTCTCACAAAATGTGTAATAATAAAATATGATCAAGTAGATTGACTTTATATTTCCCGCGCCCTCAAGTACAATTTTGGATATAGTGCAATGGCATCAAGAAGACATAGGTTTTACGAGAACCATCAGTGCAGTGTTTGGGCTGTTCGTGAAAGTAAATTTCCTCAGATTGCAGCAATGAGCGTACCCGTACATAGTTGCCTAATTTCTTTGGAGCTCTGGTATAAAACTGTCTGTCAACAATATTTGATACCTGATTAT